ATGACGTTTGAGATGCCGTGTGGTTGGAATGTAATGCTGGGCATGATGGAGTGCAATTTAGTGGAAAGGGACACAGGGCCGTCGTCTGGCTCGCGGGTGAATACTGAGCAGAATGTGGAGTTAAGGGACTCGGCAACTTTGCAGTCAGGAATAGCAGTTCCTGAGGAGTCAAGCAAGGAAACTGTAGGGTTTACGTGTTTGGGGTTAATGGTCCTCCAGAACTGCTTAGGGTTAGTGCGAATCATAGCTGGCAGTGTCGACGAGAAGAAGGTGCGTTTGGATTTAGACAGGAGTGAATCGAACTTTTTTGATGTTGCTCGATATTTATCCCATGTGCGTGGGTCGGTGGATGTTTTTGCCGCTCTAAATTGCCTATTTCTTTTTCTTTTGAGCCGTTTTAAAGTAACGCTGAACCATGGGGATGCGATCCGCTCTGTTATCGTTTTTGTAGGTATGTATTTTGCAATCAAACGTTGCGTTTCATACTTAAAGATTGACCAATTTGTTTCAACCGAGCGAGTTTCGAAATCCAACAAGAACGAATCGCAAAAGTTGCTCAGTTCAGCGTTCATATCGAGATATTGACCTTTATCGTAAAGTGTTATTGTTTTCGATAATTCTGGTGGGCGTTTGTGTAGGCAATGAAACGTACCATGAATGATAGCATGGTCACTGATACCATCCAAATAGGTGAGTGGGGAGAAACTATCGGGGTGAGAAGCAAGAACCAGGTCAAGTAGATTGTTCGAGTGGTTTGTAGTTCTTGTGGGTGATGTGACCAACTGCGAAAGCCCGAATGAAAGACACGTGTTTATGAAGTCGCTTTCGACGCTTTTGTGCACCGGCGTGATAGCGGGGTTGCACCAGTCAATAGCCGGAAGGTTAAAATCACCAAAAATTGCAATACGCGTGTTGGGGTGTAGGGTTGAGACCAACTGCAACGCGTCGTGGAAATTGGGTACGAAGGAGGCGTCGGCATCTGGGGGGCGATAGCATGCGCCAATTATGACAGGAGGATACGCAGCTGTGCATCTAATAAACAGTATTTCGAGTGGGGAACTAATGACAACACGACAGCACTGCAAACTACGATGGGCACCCAACAAGACACCACCGCCTCGCCTGTTTACCCGATCACATCGGAAGACGTCGAAATCTGGGAAATAGAGCTGTACGTCTACATTACTTATAGAGGGGTTTAGCCATGTTTCCGTAAGAATTACAAAATTGGAGTCGGTTGAGGTAACGACGTTGCTTAGTTGGTCCCTTTTGGGAATCAGGCTACGGATGTTAGTAAAAATGAATGATATGATACTGTTATTGGAACTGGGAGTTGTGTTTGCTAACCGCTACGCAACGCGCTGCACAACCTTTTCGCTACTGTGGTCATAGAAGTAAGTGACGTCACCTATCTTTAATTTATCATGTCGTAGCTTGTAGGAGGTTCCTTGTGCTTTGCCAAATTCAACTAACTTCTTGCGGGCCACGCGTGTATTAGGCGAAAAATCTTCAGAGATAGCAACATCCGACTCCTTAAATTTCCAGCTGGCACTAAGAACCTTATCCTTATCCTTGAAATAGGCGAATTTCACAATTATCGGCCTTTTTTTAGCCGGGTGAAATGTGCCCAGCCTGTGCGCACGCTCGATGTCCCGTGGTTGGATGTTTATCTTTAGTACGGCTGAACAGTGATTAATAACCTTTTCTTCAGACTGCGCCCACGTTTCGCCTGCACGGTCGACCAGCCCAAAAAACAGCAGGTTTTGGCGACGAGCCCTGTTTTCGGAATCGTCGAGACGGGAGGACAAATGAGAAATTTGTTTTGCGTTCATCTCGGCTAGATGCTCGATTTCCTCTACCTGGGTTTTAATACTCACAAGGGACGCGCAGTCTCCCTCGATTTTAGTTAGACGTACCTTAATGTCCGCGAACATGGTATCGGTTTCGTCGAGTTTGGCTTTCATGAGTCTCATTTCGCTTAACAGTGTTGACTGGCCGTTTTTGAGTTCATTAAGAATTGCGGCTATATCACATGGTTCATCAGCGGAAGGGGCACCTTTTTTTGGAGGACCGGGGTTCTCTTCTACATCTCCGCATAACATCAATAAATCCTAACAAAACAAGACCGCAATCAAAAGCGATAGAACAACAACACTGTGGGCTCGGCAGCACAAGCAAGGCAGGATAACGCGTGCGTCGCGCGAACAAAGAACAATTGTTGGGTACCTGCATGAGAAAGACGGTTTTCCGGTGAGCCCAAGCCATCGCTCGCGTGTCGCCGAGCCCACTGAAGTGGGCGCCGGTCCGGGGATGCTTTTTATAGGCTCCGGGCGTTGTCGATGGCGATCCGATCTCCCTTGGCCATTTGTAGAGCATGCGCAGGGCAGGGGGCAGCCAGGTTGACGCGTTTTCCACAGGGCAGCGACGTTGCAGCACGTGCCAGAATCGGAGATTGCTGGACTGGTTGTCAGGCGGAACCGGGATTTCCGACGAAGGCACGTGGTGTCCCGGTATCGCGTTGATGGCGCAGCCGGGCGTATCCTTGGGCAGGGCCGGGGAGCAGGCCAAGAACAGAAGCTGCATGAGAAAGACGGTTTTCCGGTGAGCCCAAGCCATCGCTCACGTGTCGCCGAGCCCACTGAACATTGCACACTCTCAGACTTCTGACCAAAATTTGCTGCAACTCAAGCAAAGGACTAAACAAAAAAACGGATATATAAAGCTTACATACTGCTGTCGTATGCCCACATATTGTTCTATGCCAGGACACTTACTGACCCTTATGGTGTAACCTTTTCAGATGAGATGTGTTTATTCTCTCGGCCACCGGGATAATTGATCAAAAACATTTTCTCCCGGCAGTCACCTCTCATTGGCTCTCATAAGTCACGTGACACACTGCTGGAATAATTTTTTTTCTATGATTCTTCCGGAAACTCGTAGAACTTGACCTAACCTATTCAACATAACCTAACTTAACCCAACGCACGCTGTGCCACGTCTGTCCATCTGTCTTGCAGCCTAACCTAACCTAATATAACGCACGCTAGGGTACGTACGCCCAGTCTGTCCCACAACAGCCAGTTTTTTCTCTCTTCTCCCCGCGGCAGTTAGTCACGTGACATATGAGAGTCAATGAGAGTCGACCACTGGGAGAAATTTTTTTGAACAATTATCCCGGTTGCCGGGAGAATAGACACTGCGTTTGAGATAAGTATACAATGAACAAGAGAGCGCCACGTCGGTGTAATCCTCTAGCTCTTCGAAAAAAAACTTGGTTTCTGCTTGGCACTGGGAATCGAACCCGGTACCGACTGCATTGGAAATTGACGCTCAACCATGCAGCCCCCAGTACGGTCGCAATTTATTTTTAAAAAAAGATTAAATTAAGAACGATGGTGAACTTACATTTATGCGTACGTAAAAAAAGATCAGAGCCAACTGATCTATATCAATCTGGAGACTTGGAATACATCGTACGTCACACTGTTACCTTACAACGCAAAAAACCCGCAATGTAGCTTCGTGGGACTCTCATTCGAAAGCTCAATTGACACCATCAATGTGTCTCCACTCACCTGTGGCGTTCTGTTCGGAGGTGACCACAATTTCTTGGCGGCTGCAAAGAGGCGCAGAGTCAACGGCGATGCACTCCCGCTTTCACCTGGAGCCATCTTCTTCTGCCTCATCTTTTCGTCGCGAGCAACAAGCATATGCGCACGTACCTGATGACCTCGTCATTGCCTCTAAGTATAGATCCCCACCACATGGCAACAGTGTAGGGAATCAAAATTCAGGAGTCCTTCGCCCATCGGAGAAATGGGGGAGGGGGGAGCAAACCTTTTGCTCAAGACCTACGCCGCAGTGGCATAGCGTCTATGGTGCTCGTATGATGACCGGAACGTCCCTGGTTCGATCCTCGTGTCGGCGGTGGCATTTCGATGAAGGTGAAACGCAAGGAGCCCGTGTATATACTGTGCCATTTTCCTCTCTTGCGTCGCCTTCTCACTAAGATATACGCTGCCATGTTGAGATGAATCGTCAGCACAGCATCCCGCACTTCTCTTCCATCGATAATGTGCACGTAGCCTCTGAGCACATGGAGGCAGCTCGAAGTGGAGCTCGTGCACGGCACTACCAGCGGCTGATAAATCATGGCCGCTGCACGATTCTTCAATGCTGAGACGTTTATAAGTTTATAGTCCATTAGATGTCCAGTTCTCTATCGACAATTAAAAAGTGTAAAGTGAAGAAGCCTTCATTATTGTATTACAGTAGTTGCGCATCCTTATATAGATGAAGTTATAGGCTTCACGCGCAATGTAGTCCCTTTATTGTCGCAATCTTTTATTCCCATATGAATTGGCGTGTTTCTGTAAAACATATATATATATATATATATATATATATATATATATATATATATATATATATATATATATATATATATATCTGTGTGTGTGTGTGTGTGTGTGGTGTGTGTGTGTGTGTGTGTGTGTGTGTGTGTGTGTGTGTGTGTGTGTGTGTGTGTGTGTGTGTGTGTGTGTACATCTTTCGTATAGGAACAGTAGCAACGGAAGTGTTTATATTTGTCAGTTCCGGCTAGAGTAAGGCCTTCATCGGGAACAAGGCCGAAACTGTCGAAATACACTTCCGTTGTGACTGTTGTGACGTAGGAGAGAGAGAGATACGTTAACTTCTGTATTCAGTAACATACAATATTACACGGCTAAAGGAGAAAGTGAAGAAAGCAAGGAGAGGAAGGATATGAAAGGTCCACTGTAGACGATCTCCCGGTTCGCTACCCGACGTTAGGGGTAAGGGAATGGAAGGATGGAGAGAGTGAGCACTACACGCGCACGGAACATTCGACATTCGGGCCAGCGTTCACAAGCTGCATTAGTGCACGAATGGCTTTTATGTGTCATCCATGGAGCGGCAGACATGCCGGATCGAAGGCAAGTTTGGAATAGTCCCTTCAGACCCACACGTGTGAAGAGTTTGTGATGAACGAACTTAATACGGTGGTGCGGTCGAAGTCGAGGGATCTCCTTGGCATTTTTTGAAAACAGCGGAGCAGAGCAGCTTGTCTATTTCGGCTTCTTCGGTAGGAAGTCTTCCGGGTTCGGTACAGCCCGAGAACAAGCTTCATGTGCATTAGCATCTGGAAAAGAAAGAAAGGCTTCAGCAGAATACAGTGGGGCAGATATACAGCTTGCACTAGTCCCTTTATCATTGAGTAATTGACCTGTGTCGGCTTTTGGACGCTCGAATAGGCTGTTTTAGAGAACAACATTCAAGCACGATGTCGATATAACGAACTTTAACATTCCACTTGTCACTACCTCATGCACACAAAACACCGCGTGTTTTAAACCTCGATATAACGAAGCGTGTTGTCGGTGGTTTCAATCGCCGGTAACATGCTACGATATCTCAAGCAAAGGCAAAGTTGGCTGTCGAAACACCGGAGCAGAGGGAGGCCATATCAGCACGTTACAGAGAGAAGTTTACCAAGCGTGAGAGAATGCCGATATCGAACCTACACTGCAGCTGCCATCTGTGTGCATAGTTTTTTTGTGAAACCGAGCCAAACGTATACTTTTTGCTCGTGATAACTGGGTTTACAATAGCTAACTATCAGCCGATTTTCGCTGAGTTTTGGGAGCCCAACAGTGCAGCCACGTAAGCGACTACCCATATAGTGTCCGCGGACCTTGTGATCGTCTCCTGAACACGTATCGCAGCCAATGCAGAATGTACGGTTTGCAAAAAAAAAATGCCATAAATCTACACGTTCCTCGCGCAGGCCGGATCTATACAGGAAGCCATAAACAGCAAGAGACCCTTGTTGTTTTTTTAACGATATTTGACACCACAAGCAGACACTTACTGGTGCAACTTTTCGTGCAAGCTTCACAGGATGGGAAGCTGTTAGCGCCGACGGAACAGTTAGCGCTCAGAATGCGAGTGCAGAGGCCAGCAGCGAAATTGAAGTACCATGTGTTTCTAGACCCCTTGTGGCATGGTCCTTGCTTTGGCACCACGCTGCAGGAAAGTTTCTGCCTCTCTGGCGCTGCAAACACGATTATGTCAGTGGTAACGTTGTTGCGGGAGAGGTCAGTATAGTTATGCGTCTATTCACTAGGAGCGTCGGACAAAGTTATCGAAATTCTTGAACGTAAGTTTATTGAAAACTGGTTGTTTGGCCAGTTGGTAATTCGTCATATTATGAGTAAATTTATACTGCAACTTAGTAATCTCTATAGAAACACCCCCACATCCAGGTTAGCTTCCACTCAAAACACACACAACACAGCGCTGTGTGTGTTTCTTGAGAGGAAGCCAGTGTGAATGTGTGAGTGTTTCGAGAGATTACCAAGTTTGCGCTAAATTTACTCACAACATTATTTAACGTAAGGTTTCTCGGGAAAAGGAATTCTTTTTAATTAAAAAGACATCTCTCCAGGCTCGACAACGTGCATAAATGATGAAAATCACGCTAATCTGTGGTTAATTAACGAATATCGCGCTTATCAGCTTTTCAATTAACGCTTGGTACATATATAGCGATTCACGAACTGTAGCCATTGTTTTCTCAATGCATGCACACTATAGCATAAAATCTCAGGGTTGCGCGGATTTCGGGAGATGTGTTTGTTGGTCAGTTGCTGATTTTGAACCGGTGGTAACTTGAGCGCCGATCGCAAGCATCGGTTCGAGACCAAGAAAAATAAACAATTAAGCAGGGGAAGGCAACGAGTTAGATGAAGTGAAGAAATTTTATCGATCGTTCGATTAATTTATTGTAGAAAGTCAGAGCTCTTTTCTATCCTTGTCTTTTCGCTTTTGTAGTTACGCTGTAACTACGAGGTTGGGCCGTTCGTACATTAGGTTTGGAGTTACTGTATATGCTACCTTTACCTAAACATAGCATATGGAGTAATTCTAATTCAGTTTTGATCTATCAACTTTCCCACGTTTCCACGCTGCACACCGACGCCTATGGACAACTATACGCCACAAAAATCTGCTGTTGCTTGTGAGTACACAGCAGGTTACGCAATAAGCGACAACAAGTGCATCAACTCCCTTGTACTTACGTAGGCACACTTTCTGGCACATTCTTTCCGAGGCAAAGTGGTTAGTCGCTCCGCCACATCTTCCGGAGAGGTACATTTTACACGTTTGCAACGCGAAGTCGAAGAACCAAAATCGCGCATTTCGCCGGCAGGGGACTCGGAAGTTCGTGGGTATTTTGCTGCACCTGGCCCCTTTCTTTCCTCTAGCGGCTGAAACAAACGAAAATACGTATCTTTAAAAGACACTTGTTTGTAGGATTTCCCAAGACGCCCGGTGAATTTAGTGGCTGACGGGTCTTCGATGTCCTCTCTTCCGACCGCTCACCGATCGGGGCCCCGTCTGCGAACTGCTCTCACTGTCTCCACTTTTTTTTTACTCTTCTCTCAATTTCTTTTACTCCCTCCTTATCCATTCTCTTGCGAACCACTACTGAGGTGTCGCACTTTGCCGCAGACAGTTGCGGGGTTAACTTAGCATTTTTTTTCCTAATTTAAAATCACTTCCCCCTCTCCCTGCACGCACGCTAGTGCGCAAGAGGAGCATGATCATTGATGGTAGAGCAGACTACAATGAATCTGCCATACCAACAGACTACCATCATACCAGTAAACTACCATCATGCTACCATACCAACAAGCCCAAATCACCTCCCTCATCGCATGAGGAGCTTCTGTGAACTGATGTATAACGAACCAAGCATTCACATTCTTGCAGCTTGTAGAGCTTACAGGGGCTAATTAATATCTAATGAAGCGCGTTTGCCACTCTGAGGCTAACAGGATGCGACGGTGTAGCCATCACTCTTGACGTGTGGAAGCACCGGGAAGTCTCTATATTGCGTCGACAAATCGAACACGGGATGTCGCTGTGGGCAACGTTTCGACCACGGAAGCTGTGTCCATGGGACATTCATCTGCCCTTCTTACAACAACGTTCTTTATGTTATTCTTATGTCGGCTTAATGCTGGTGACACATTAATCGTGGTTGCGGTGCTAACCCAACTTATTTTACAAAAATTACATATGTACTCTAACGATACAGGTGTCACGTCGGGTTGGCGTCAATTGCAGTTAGGCAACATCCACTGAAGTACTTGGTCTACGCAGCAATATCCAGAGATCCAGGCCTACCATCCTTGCAAGCACAAGTGCTACATTTTAGCCTACAGGTTCCGATGTTGGTAATAACCATTTTGCTCTTGGAATCGTTCATCATCATCAGCCTGACTACGTCCACTGCAGGACAAAGACCTCTCCCATGTTCCGCCAGTCAACTCGGTCCTGTGCTTGCTGCTGCCTATTTATACCCGCAAACATCTTAATCTTATCTGCCCACCTACCTTTCTGTCTCCCCCTAACCCACTTACCTTCTCTGGGAATCCAGTCAGTTACCCTTAATGACCAGCGGTTATCTTGCCTACGCACTACATGCCCAGCCTCTTTTCAATATCAACTATGATATCCTTAACCCCTGTTTTTTCCCTGATCCACTCTGCTTTCTTTTTGTCTCTCAACGTTACACCTATCATTTTTCTTTCCATCGCTTGCTGTGTCGTACTCAATTTAAACTGGACCGTCTTTGTAAGTCTCCTGGTTCCTGCTACGTAGGTAAGTATCTTTATAAAACACGTGCGACTGTTCAACATACAAGTCTGTGCATACAACATTTGTACATATGTTAAGGGTCCTTTCGTAATGTTGAGCTCGGCATCCAAATACAACAGAGTCATCCGCATGCTTCACATGACATCGATATTCCGCCGGGATCTGCAGACTTTCTTTCTCTTTTTCTTTCATCTAGCATCAATGCTCTCTATTAAAGTAAGCGTACAGCATTATTATAGGTAATAACGTCCGTCCCCAGAACGCTGTTTTCTGCCTGAATCAGCTTGGCATCTTTCATGTAATTCGCAGCATTTTTCTTTCATCTAGCATCAATGCTCTCTATTAAAGTAAGCGTACAGTATTATTATAGGTAATAACGTCCGTCCCCAGAACGCTGTTTTCTGCCTGAATCAGCTTGGCATCTTTCATGTAATTCGCAGCGTTCGTCAGCCACCATACAGCCGGAAAAGAGGGTTAGGAATTCATTTCTTTGCAAGTCGAAATTCTTCCAAAATGTGCAATTCTGACATCAGCTTTATGCGTTGTACAGCAGATAGCTTTTATTCCGTGATAAATGCGAAATATTTCGATGAAGCAGCCATAGCAAGTGGACTGCTTCTCTCTTTTTTTTTCTTCGAGCCTGCATAGCTCGAAGAAGTCTCTGACATATCTCATATACTCATAGTAAGTATAGGCCATATAAATGTCTCGCTGTTTTTTTTTTGCAAGCTGGCTATTTTCTATACAGAGCAAGTCAAGTAAAAGCAATATGAGCAGCTACAAAGGCTATAGTTAGTGTTGCATCTTGGTTAAACGCGTTTCTAACTGTATACAGGGACAAACTGTACACACCAAAAACACAGATCACAGACTGACAAATACATTTTGTTAGTCTGCGCTCTCTGTTTTTCGTGTGTCCAGTCCATCTCTGTACGGTTAAAAAAGTCCTTTACCCAAGAAGCAGAGCATCATTTTGGGGTCACCTGCTGCTTGTATACAGTGCTGTTTGCAGAAGACCAAAAGGGCATAACAGCAGAAACGTGTACAGAGAGTATTTAGAACATAAAGCAAAACCTTACCCACTTGGTAAACCCAAACTTTGTTTTACAGTAAGAGATAACGTACGTTTGCACTCTTCAATGACCCCAAAAGAAATTGCAACAGTACCACAAACGTAGAGCACACAGGCGAGCACAACGAGACAACACGCTCGAAGTCTCATAATAAAAGTAATGCTTCGAGCAGCTGAAATTACAGCTTCAACATTCTAAACTATTGACAATACGTGCTTCTATTGTCACGTCATGTGCCCCTATTGTATTGTAAATTCGCTTTAGAACGGCATTTCACTGGTGCAATGTATTGTTCCCTTGTGATTCAACGCGTGGAACAGAAGTTATAAGTAATGAAGCTTCCACACCTGTTCGTTTCCAGAAGCCTGTATACGTGCGTGTTTGTTCACATGATAATATACGGTAGCGCAAACAAAGGACATGGACAAGAGAAGGCACATTCAAGACAACACAGCGCTAACTTTCAGCAACAGTTTATTACTCGCAGGTCCCGCTAGCATATGCACTCCACGACATCATACGTCACATGTGCATAGCTCTCACAACCATAAATTGTAACCTACGAGCATGCATCAACACATTACAACACTATATGCAACGAGTTTTCTTTTTCCTAGTGCATAACCACGAAACGTTCATCGTGAAGACATGTAATCAAGTTCTTTATTATTACCATAGCAATTACATGGACACTCTCAGCTAGATCTTGCCGTCGATGTGGGAGTCGCCGTCACTCACCGTATATGTTTACATGTTTATATATATGAAAACGCAAGAAAAAAATAATCCAGAAAAAGACTCCGGAGTGCGGAATCGAACGTGGGACCTTTGAAACGTGAGTGCGAGGCATTAACCACTGAGGAGCACATCATTCAACGTTCAAACGGCAAGTTATTTATATCTACTACTTACCGCTCGTGACTTGCATCTCGGGGAGGGGGGAACAATGCTGTTTTCAGCATTACCAGCAAGATGGCGCAATGAGCGGCGGCCGCCATTCGGCTTCCCTCGTCTCGTCGCGGCTGGTTGAGTGAGATAAGCAACTCGCTTGCACGGTAGCGAGTCGCGCCCTTTTGCTTAGTCACCGTCACCCCATTTGACGGCAGTCCAAAAGGATTGCACGACGCTAGAGTCACGTGCGAGTGAGTGAGCATGCAATCGTGCGTCAGTGGCGCGACTCCGTCGCAACCGCGCGCTACAAGCGAACAACCGCCGATACCTGCCGAGAGGCTCACCTGCGTTTCGGCTTCGAGGATTTCGACCACGGTGTCGTAGAATTCGCGGCCGTCCACCTGCGTCGCCGCCACATAGTGAGCTTCGTCGAGATAGTTTTCAAAGTCTTTAGCGTCGTGCTTCATCGGTGCGCCCAGGAGAGCCGCTGAACCGAGCGCCAGCAGGGCGCACAGCGCTGCGACAGCTGTCGCAATGGACAACTTCATTGCGTTCAATTCGTTCCGTGAGACGAGCCACTTGATTGAAGAAGTCGTCTGCGGACTCCGCAAAAGCGCGTATACGGACCTCCACCACAGGCACAGCGGTGGGACGGAGGCTCAATCAACGCGCAGCTGACAGCAAAAACTGACGCTTTCGCCACAGAACTCTCGCTTTCCCAGTGTTTATGTTTTCCAGCGGCTGCGCACGCAGCGCCGCCTACTCGCCTTTCAAGTTTCAATCCCTTTCCTGCAGAAGAGAGTAGCGACAACTTTGCAAACTTGCCTCCTCCCCTCCTCTTTCTCTCTCCAACGCTGCGTTGCCTCTCTCTGCACACTTCTTATGCTATGCGAAGAAGCCGTCACGCATCGTCGGCTCTCGAGATCGGTAAATGCGTAGAAGACAAAGACTGACACGGCAAACGAGCACATTGGTCTCCGTCCTCGTATTTTGCGCACTTGTGTCACGTCACACCAGCAAGCCCATACATTAGTCACATGGGCGTCTGAGGAAATTTGCAAGCACCCTACCCCTACCCCCAACGTTGCCCTCGCCGGAAGTTTTGGATATATTACATTATATGCAGTAGCAATAAGATACACATATTGGTAAGCATAACGAGTGGCTGCATATTCGTGTGAAACGGCCTTCTGCATTGACTAACCTGTCGGTCTCGTCATGGCCGGCAATGGGGCGCCCCCTCTCTTACACCCCCCCCCCTTTCCTGTGGATTCTGCCTGCGGCTCTGTTTTCTTTCTCATTTTTCTCGAGTAAGTATGCTCTTGTATTCTTTTATTATTTTCCGACAAAAGCGTCGACGTGTAATCGTTACATGAAGTGTACATAAAAACGTCGATACCATATATCCCACGTTTTCTTGCCAAAAAGCTGCGTCACAGGTGCAAGAATACAGACTCAGTATCTGTCATTGTAACAAGCGCCAGCGAGCAATCGCATTCAGGCTCCGATGACAATATCAACTTGCAAGGCAGGCTAACGGGCTGCCTCGAATATATGCTTTGTCAGCTCGACAATGGGTTGTCCATTCACAAAACTAAAAGCCTTTATAAGTTTGTTGCCGCGTTGAGTCATTTCGCTGCCAAGAATTTAATGGGTTGTGTGCCATATATTATTAGAGTTAATAGAGTCACACGAATTTTGAGCATCCCCGAAATACACAAGGAAGCAGTTATCTGACGCGCACAATTTTCGAACGTAATAGTTCGCTGCGAATGGCATTGCCTTTCGGGGGATAGTCCGCTCAAAGGGCAATACACTAAAAATATACACTATTTGTTTTGACTTCGTCACTGAGGCAAATCATTTCTTCCAACACAACAACGAAACATATCATACAACGCTGCAGAATTTTCCACGGCGTCTGCTGAAACAAGTGAAACAGATGACGCATAAATCAAAAATTATTTCACCAAAATTACAAACGTAACTGAATTAAAGTTCCGCGGAAAACAAACGCATCGCGCTGCCACAAAGATGGCGGCGCCCGGCTCATGAGTAACGCGTGGCGAGTAGAAAGCCGCCGGCAGGTGGACGACCCGACTTCCCGCGCACCGCCTCCGTGACGACGCGTCAGGAAGCGTCCAGGATCTCGGAGGACATGACAGGCCACCCTAGACGCTTGGTTTGGTGACCGATCCCAGGAAGATGACGCTGCTGGGGTCCTTGCCGAGCACCAGAAACAGGAAGGGTCGGTCCACCGTGAACTCCAGGTTGCGGCCGTCCGCACAGTCGGCGATGGGCGGAAGACCGGTCAACCGCGCCTCACTTCTCGCCGCCGCCGAACGCAGACCCAGCCGGAACACGGCGAAGTGCTTGGCGGCCGACACCTTCAGCCGTCCTGCAGCGCCTGTTTCGCATAGAAATGTTAAAGATTGGAAAGATGGCGAGCTTAAGAATGCATACATTGTAGGCATTTTTATTATGCTGATATTCTTCATCTGTACATTACCATCAACATAATGCTTTCGTAATGCATCCTCATCGCTGTCGTGTATGATCATTGTCATCCTGAGTGGATCGTAGCTGTTGGTCATCGGGATCTCGGCCCAAATAAAGGTAGTCTCAGCCAGAACCTCAAAATAAGTATATTTCTGACTCTTCTGAGGTCTCTTCAACCCCCATTTCATGATGGTCTGCAACGGCGTATACGAGATATGGGCGTAGGAAAGGGGAGACAAAATAGGCGCTTGCCCACTCCCCTGTACCACCCCTTTACAATGCAAAATAGTTTTGCACCCCTAAGACACTGCCCTGCTACGCCCATGGTTGAGGTGCTGTGTCGAACAATAATAATAAAAGGTGGGACTTTTCCATCCAAAAACCACCATGAAATTATGAAAAAAACGCTGTAGTATGGGGCTCCGGAAATTTTTACGATCTGGCATATGTGCACTGACATGGCACAGCACGCGGGCCTGTACCATCGCGCCTCCATCAAAATGCGACCACCGTGGCCGCGATCGAACCCGCTACCTTCAGGTTCAGCAGCCGAGCACCCTAGCCACTGATTCACCGAGGCGGGCGCGGTGCAATATCTTATGAGCGAGATACGATTGCTGACCGAAATGGACTACTACATTAAGCACTAAACAAAGATTGTGAAAATAACTTAAGGATGCACATTCTTGCAATTTCCAGTTCTTCACACGTTTCCGAATACGAAGCGACCGCGCCAGAATGAAAAGAACAACCATGCATTCGTTCAATCTCAATTCGAAGAATAAATTGAGATTGTAGTGCGCTTACCATAAAATAGGGAGATGGGCAGCCACCCGCTCGCAGTACGACGATACAAAGAAAGCCGTGCGGATTCCCCCGGACCAGGAGACGTTTTTGTTAGCTTAGAAGATTTCTTTCTATTGTCTAGATTTTCACGCAAGTAGTACAGTACGAAAGTCCGTATCTTGAGTTACTGTGTATGCCCCCTTGCTCCTTGAGGGCGCGTATACTAGCCATTTATTAAGCTTTCTGCACCGATTGCCACGTGGCCATAAAATGGAAAGATGATCATGAATATTACATTTGGTTTCATCATTATCCGTTTACCCTTCTTGTTTCCGGCTTAAAATGTTGAAAACTTCTCATCGAGAGACGGAGAGTCGAAACTCGAAAAGGGACGTACCTGCTCCGGTCATGTCGGAGAAGTCCGCCGCGTCTCCGAACGCGTCCCGAACGCCCATCGCAGGCAGAAGTCGAGCGAAGTCCGTGGCACAGCAAAGCCTCAGCCTCGGCAGCGTCACATCGACGAGACCCCGCTGCTCAAGGCGGTCCAGGCAGTCCATGATCTTGTCCTTGGAGAGACTCCGCTCGAGCGACGCGAGTCCGCCGAACGGAGAGTCCGGCAGGAACACGACCAGGGACTCCAGGAGCGGCGAGTTGTACGGGACCTCGAGCACGGTCGCCGCGATGTCGTCGCACCTGGGACGCCGATGAATCGAAATGAATGAGAAGACGAATGACGAGAACGTGGACGTGAGCACGTTGGTGGCGTAAGGTTTTTAACGCAGTGTCCCCTCCTCACGCAACTGGAAGAGTCCAAAGGAAGACGAGTTTCTCATTGAATGCAAAAACGAAAATGAAGCAATGACGAGCTGCGCACAACCGACTGCCTTTATTTCCTACCTTTCCGGGAGCTAAATTGGGGAGTAAACCATTCTACGAATGCAACATCAGGGGTCCTCTGCGAAAAGTATTGTTACAATTTGCGTAGTCATATCCCTTAACATCGGACGATGCTGGAACAAATTCGAATAAGTAAATATAGGTGTTTCATTTCGGCGCCCGGCTTCAGATGTGATTATGGGTCCGGAACGCCCCTAATCGGCCGACAAAGCATTACGAAGAGTAAGATATCGTGGAGTGAGGCCTTAGAATGCAGCGTTGCAGTACCGTGGGCAGGTTTTTTCATGGTTTGACTATGACAGGAATGTCATATATCGCACAGGTACGGCACTGACGTAGCCACGGGGAGGGGTCGGGGATTAGGCTCCTCCCCCACCCACTAAAGTATGCGTGGGATGCAGAGTCGGTGAAAGACTGATCCCAACATAAAACGTAACGATGTTTATTAACGTGGTAGCAACAGCAGGCAAGCGTGCCGATGCTGCGCTCGAACGTTTAGAGAAACAATCATTCAAACCAAGCTTGGTAGCTTGGGTTATATAGCCGTCTGTGGTGCCGTCAGCCTCCGGTGAAAGAACGGTGGCGCTGTCCGTTATCGGACGCGCGTGTTGCAGCAAGTGGCCGTGTCACGCCGGGCTTATCAGTGGCGAGACAAAGGATGCGCAGGACTGTGCGCAGTGGTCGCCATATCACCCCCCCTTCCCCCTCACGGAGTGCAGAGCCCTCAGGGTCTGTAAAGATTTGGGAGGCGTACGAGAAGTCCTGATCGTGTCGTGAAAGGAGCGGCCTGCGATGTCGGTGGCTGTGGAAGTATGCCTGAGAAAGGAGTGGCGCTGCCCGGTTCGTTCGCCGTGATGTATGCGGGCTTGAGTCGGTCAATCGAGACGCAGACGTCATTCCTGTTTAGGCGCAGAGAGATAGTCTTGTCACGATGTACTACTAGGTAGGGCCCGCTATAGGGTGGCTGGAAGGGCCGGCGGATGGTGTCATCGCGGGGGAAAGCGTGCGTGCACGATGTCAGCTCCTTCAACACAAAAGGTGTAGGCTTGCTGTGGTGGGCGGCAGGCGATGGGCGTAAGGCGGTGATTGTGCGTCAGAGCCGAGCGACGAAGTCGGTGGGGTCTGACGTCGAAGTGCTGGATGGCAGAGCTGCGAGAAATTCAGCTGGGAGACGGAGTGGTTCTCCGCAGACGAGCTCTGTTGGCGTAGCGAGGATGTCCGGCTTGAAGGTGGCGCGAAGACCGAGAATGATAGCCGGG